TACCCTTACGAATAACCAAACCTCTCGCAAGGAAAAAAAATCAACATTACATATGACGCATCACAACCTAAGTTAGAAGGCCTAATGAATCCAAATGTGACTGTTATCCCCAAACCAATCAGTGATAACTAATGAAGAGGAATGGGGTGGTTTCAAATTTTTAAATATGTCAAGCAAGAGGAAGGACCGGATAGTCGACAACCAAACAAGCATGAGTAGAGGGTATAAATAGAGCAAAAAATAAGAGAAATAGCTCACTAGTTGGTTGTATTTGGAGGGACTAGCATTGATTGCGATCGTACAGAGCCAAAGTATGGGGAAAATAGATTTACCAGTGAACCTTGACAGTCGAGCTTAGATAGGTGCCAAGAGAAGTTGTTGCCAACAACCTGAGTCTATAGGACCGGTTGTAGAACAAGGGAAGAAATAATGCCTAGTAGGTCACACCCAAGTGACAGGAAAGTGCGTGAGAAATAGGAAGAAATAGAGAGAGAAATAAAGGTAGAAAGTAAGAGACATGTCTCACTGTGACTAAGACTAACTAAGAAGAAGGAGAGAACCAGCTCTATGGTTGTCTTCTAAGCTTACCGGAGCAGGATAGGCCGATTGCTAGTAGTTGGCTAGCTTCTCATTGAACAAGGGAAATAAATCTATGTTGCGGAACACCAACCGAATGAAGCTAGCTTGCTAGGAAATCGAAGGCTACTAACATTGGCTCTAGTTCTGTGTTGATTGGCAGCCAAACACACCACTAAGAGGCCTTGATAGGCTGTTAAGCCCCTTGTGCTAATATCCCTGTTTTAATAAAAAAAAATTTGACTAATTTTTGTAAGTCGAGGGCTTAATTGAAAGAATAAAAAGGTTTGGGGTCAATTTTAAAAGATTAAGGACTTGATTGAATAAATTTAAACTTTCGGATACTAAACTAAAAATGTCAGAGACTAGATCAGATTCTGGAATAAAATTTAGGGACTAGATCATAAGGAATCAAATAGGTCAGGGACTAAATCAAAAAAAGTTGAAAAAAGGTGGATTTTATTCCCAAACAGATGGCCGACCATTTGAGAGCAAATTGGGTGGTGATTCCGAGCTTTTTCGTCGAATTGAGCCTATAAATTGGTTCGTTGGCTCGATATGAAGCAAAGCTCTCAATTAATTTGAGAAAATCAGTTCATTAGCTTTGTCAATTTCCCAATTTTTCATCCGGCTTCTCCGCCCGCCATTTTTGAGCTTTTGAACTTAATTCCTTCAAATTAAGTTGTTTTTAAGCCAAATTGAGGATCGCATCTTGTTCGCCTACTATTTCGGAGCCTCCCTGCAAATTTTCATGAAAAAATTTCAAGTCAAATGTGTTCAATTTGTGTTTTTTGTTATATGGTTTTTGCCTCCAATTTTTCAGGTCTGGAAATTAGACCCATCTAGATCTAGGTCTACTCCAAACCCAGATTAATCCCAGCAGGCTGGCCTTGCTAGGACAGCCTAAGCAAGCTGGGCCTTTTAGGCCCAGCAGGTTGGGCATAGCATGGCCCAGTGGGGTGCACGGCTCGTGGCTGCAGTGCAAGGCCAGGTGGGGTCAGGTTTAGCCGACCCGGATCCGAGATCCGTTTGTTAAAAAAAAAATAAATAAATAAAAATAATTCTGAAATTCAGAAAATTGAATAATAATAATAAATCAAGAAAATTTGGAAAAAATTAGAAAATGATATTTACTTATTTTTGAGAAAATTTTTGATGAAAAACCTTGGAAATGTTAATTTTTATTTTCCAAATAATTAGTGAAAAATAAAAGAAAATTGAGAAAAATTAGAAAATGATATTTACTTGTTTTTGAAAAACTTTTTGGTGAAAAACCTTGGAAATATTAATTTTATTTTCCAAATAATTAGTGAAAAATAAAAGAAAAATATAGAAAAATATGGAAAAATTCCATGAGTGAAAATCAAAGGGGATTAGGCTTGGTTCATCACTGATTCAGCGAAAGATCAAGGCCGGTTCATGGCTGGTTTAGTGGTTTTTATACCAGTTCAATGGTTTTAAAGACGATTTAAGGATGGTACAACCTTGGTTGATATTTTTGTACAGGATTTGGTTATAGGTTCCTTTTAGTTTAGATTCGAGAGTGAGGCAAGGGACCTCGGGATGCGTGCTAAGGTTCTGAAATGGGGTTCTGATCTATTTTGGGTATTGAAATATGTTAGTGGACAGAGTTCGGTTTTGGTTTTGATTATGTAATATTGTGATTGTAGATTTGCCCAAGGAGACACGCTTCAATCCGTGAGCTCGTTTTCGGTTCTTTAAATTTTCGGTTTTGGTTTGGACTGTGAGTGACAATACTTATTTTATGCATGTTTATTTTATCTTGGTTATGAAATAAATAATGCGATATGATTTCTGATTTTAAAAAGGTTATATTTGGAACAAGTATTCGTTAAATTTTGAAATTTCAGTGAGTTATTTGAAAATAGATGATTAATCAAATTTCATGCCTCTAATGTTTTTTTGAAATCTATGCGGGAGTTATTCTGAATTTTGATTATAATTCTGGTTCTGATATGTGATATGTAACTTCTTTGACATGACACGCTCTGTCATGAGTTGAGATTCTGATTATGGTACCAATTATGATGTGATATGTGATATGTAATTCCTCAGACATGATAAGCTTTGTCGTGAGATGTGATATAAGAAGATACTCCCACATGGCCTAATCGATTAAATTGTGTTTTGAGAACTAGAGGCATATTTTTATGGCTTATCTAATAATTTGACTACGTAGCTCATTGTATACTTATATGTATGGTTTTGGCATGTTTTATGATGCATGTCTTAGCATGACTAGAGTCTGTATTATCATTCGCTAGGTTTCGCAACTCATCCTTTAATATTTTCCAGATCGTATCGAGGGGTCACATTTCTGGCCAAGCTGTCCATTTCCTGCCAAGTTGAAGTTGATGTACGGCTTGATATTCTTACTTGTCTTATATTCATATATTAAAGTTGCTCCAGTTATTTCTCAGACAGAGTTGTGATATATTTGAGATATTATGATATTTGATCTATTATGAGTTTGTATTTAATTTCTGATCAGAGGCTTACTAGGGTTGGAGTGCCAGCCTTAGTGCTGGTCACAGGTCCAGGTTTGGGGTGTGATAGCCTAGTAGGTCACGCCCATGCAATAGGAAAGTGTTTGAGAAATAGGAAGAAATAGAGAGAGAAATAAAGGTAGAAAGCAAGAGACATGTCTCACTGTGACTAAGACTAACTAAGAAGAAGGAGAGAACCAGCTCTATGGTTGGCTTCTAAGCTTAGCGGAGTAGGGGAGGCCGATTGCTAGTAGTTGGCTAGCTTCTCAGTTGAACGAGGGAAATAAATCTATGTTGTGGAACACCAACCGAATGAAGCTAGCTTGCTAGGAAATCGGAGGCTACTAACATTGGCTCTAGTTGTGTGTTGATCAGCGGCCAAACACACCACTAAGAGGCCTTGATAGGCTGCTAAGCCCCTTGTGCTACAATGCCTATAGAGGCACAAGCGGAAGATGGAACATATATAGGTGTGTGATGGTTTAAGTTTGCATCCCTTCAATTTTGGTCCCCCCAACTTTCATATAATTCCAATTTTAGTCATTCAATGTTACCAAGTATTGTACTTTGGTCCTTAACGTTTGTATGTATTCTAATTAGACCCTTAAAATTTTTATTTCTTTCAAATTAAACCCTAAATTGAAATGTTTTTAACTTATTATTACCCATTAAGTGCCAAAATTTAAATTATTAATTCAAAATTAGATTATCATCACATGTATCAAATATAAAAGAATTTAGGGTCCATTTTACTTGAGGTTTATTTGATATAGAACAATTATTATATCATATTATGCATAAAGTATTAAAGATGATTAAAAATTTGAATTTAAATATTTAAATTAGTAATTTAAATTGAATAAATTATTAACACTAATATTTCTTAGACCGTTACAATGGGTGTGTCTCTAACCCAAGGCTTAATTCGTCCCCTACACCAGTATCTTTTGCTAATTCAAAATTTGCCTGTTTAAACTGCAAAATTGAATTCAAAATGCCGGTTCCGTTCAAGGTGAACCGCTAGCAAGTTGGTTTTTTTCAACCATTCCAATTCAATTCAATCTAACCATGTGAATGTTACGCATTTACATGTGAAAACGCCCATTGGGCTTATGGGCCCCACCATTCATTCTATTCACAGTAAAGCCTCTTTGTGGGGTAAAATTTGGGAGGTACACGTACAAATTAAACAGTCCTGGCGTGATAAAATTCAAATGGACCAGTCCAAATTATTTTGCTTAAAGTAATTAAAAGTTACTTGAAGGCCTCAAGTAAGAAATTAACTTTATTTTCACTAATCAACCCAACGGTCTTCTTCTGAATGTCGGGAACTTCTTCCCTCGCAACGGTTGTGGAGTCATACCTGCGGTGACTGTATCAGCATAGTTCCCACGTTGTAGGACCAAGGAAAAGACACCATTTTTTAAGATTTATATAAATCACATTGTTATTTCTTTATCCAATTTTGACAAATTGTTACAGGGGATAAGTATTAGTTTTCATTGGTAAAAGGAGGTAACTGATCCAACGAATATATTTGACCATGTGCAGCTCATGTGATTATTTTCTTTTCCTTTCTTTAGTGAAATGGGTCGAATAGCAGAGAGAGTTCGAGAAGTCAATTTCCTGTTAGTCATTTAATTAAGGGGGTTTGAAATAATTTACCCACAATCCCAACAACCATTGTAAGGATTCACCTCGCATGCTATTTCCATGAAGTTTCTTGGCCACTATTGGACCTGCGTCACAATCATAGAAATGCAAAGAAAAATGGGAATCCATTAAGTTCCATCAAGGAGTTATCGACTAGGTCTAAATATAGGGGCATAACAAACAACAGGGAAAAAGCTAGCGTGTGGAACACAAAAAAGACAAGTCAAAAAAAACAACCAAGTTTTTCCAATCTATTTTGACTTTTTAAGAGACGTTGTCAATCACTGCCTCGATAAACTGCCCCAAATGTGCATGAGATGATCCACCCTCCTTCATGGCGGTCCTGCTCTTCTTGCTCATTTCCTTCACCCTCTCCCTGATTTCCACACTCTCGTCTCCCTCCATTAGCCGCTTTATCCCGTTCTCTATCTCCTCCGCCGTCACTAACACTGGCGGCCCCTCCCCCTTGTAAAATTCCTTCTCGTAGTCGAGCTTAATCTCCACCGCCAATCCAAATTCCCTCACCATCAGAAACGCGTTCATTTGCTGCTCCGCGTATAATGGCCACGTTGCGACTGGCACACCCCACCACAAGCTCTCTAGCGTTGAGTTCCATCCACAGTGCGACACAAAACCCCTCACGGCAGGATGTGATAATACCGCCACCTGTGGGGCCCACCCTATCACTTTCCCAATCTCAGCCGTTCGGACCATGAACCCTTCTGGGAGGATTTCGTTCGGGTTTTCGTACTCCCTTGGCACCTCAATTTTTCCCTTTGCCGGCGGTCTTCTTAGGGACCACAAGAAAGGATGGCCGGCACGTTCCAGCGCATGGGCTATCTCCTTCACCTGATCCTCCTCGAAGCTACCCCTGCTACCGAAGCACAGAAACACCACTGACAAGAGGGGTTGATCATCCAACCAAGTCATTATTGCTTTTTCTGATTTTTTGTTGTCGAGGTTCACAATGGGCCCCACTGGATAAACAGGCGGAACTGTGTGGTCGTCGCGGAGAGACTTGACTGCATGAGATTCTAGTTCCTCGAACGTGTTGATCAAGATTCCTTTAGTTTTCTTCAGCTTACTCACAACAGTATTGAACATGGCAAACCCGCCGTTTTCCTTGTCGAACACCTCCGCGGGCAGGACCTTAGTGGGCAACTGGTTGGAGAAAGCAGGAACTGGCAACTCAATGTCTGAGTCCTTGAATTCGGTCAAGTCTTTACCGAAATCCTCCTGAAGAGTGTAGAGATGTAACAGGAGACCAAGAAAGGCGGCGCCGGAGGTGAAGAAGGAGTAAGCCGGAACACCGAATTCATCGGCCACTTCCATCATGGAGGAGGTGCAGAACATGTCGAGCACGAACCCGGCAAGTTGAGTTGACTCAGAATACTCGGATATTAATTGTGACACGGCGTTTCTAACGTGGGGCTTCTGGAGCTTGATGAATTCGGTAAGGAAGCCGTGGCCTCTCATGGGGAATCTTTCCAACATGGAGTCGTCATTGGGAAGATCGACAAAACGGATCCTTTGGGGGATTGACGTTTCGGGCTTATAAGTTTTGGTCTCGAAGGGAAAGTGCATAAGGAGGACGGTGATGGAGAGGCGTTGGTCTCGGCTGGCGAGGAGCTTCGCGATCTCCACCGCCGAGAAAAGGTGGCCGACGACGGGGAAAGGGATAAACACCAGCTCTGCTGTTTTCATCTTTTTGATTTCTTCTGTAGGGCTTCTCTGCTCTGTAAAGTACAAGCTGCTGGAGCTATGTTTGAAGGATGAGTATGAGGCTATGAGTTGACGTGTTGTGACTGGCTTCCGCTGCGTTGGCTTGCTTTTATTAATTATGACTAAACGACGCAAGGACCTGTCCTGCATATGTGATCGGCACGCATCCAGCGGTCTTTTCTTTTCTGTAATTTAGCTTAAAAAAATGTTTCCAGAATATCAAAATTAAGTGGCCGGTATTCATTGGCCTAACAATATTGACTTTTCTTTATCGGTTACGTGAATATATATACACACACATCATTTGATTTGTATAATTTATTTATTTTTTATTATCATAAAATAATAGACGAAATAAGAAGCTGTTTGGCCTGAAATTGGGATTTAATAATAGGCGGAGACTACAGTAAAACCTCTCAAAGAGATTGTTTCAAATATCCTCTACGTGCACCAATTATTATTGGTCACGTGAATTATTTCAAGAACTAAAATATAAATATTTTAAAAGATTAAATTAAAGTATAAATATTATAAGGACCAAAGTGCAAATATTACACTTTGGTCGTCTTCCTTCTCGCCACCCCGTAGCCTAAGCGAAGCAATGGACTCATCAGGGATTGTAGCGGCTTCTTGGTAGTTCTTCAAGCACATCATCGTCATGAGGCACGGCGATTTGAAGTCGATCTGGATGTCATCGTCGCAAATGAGGACGGCACGGGTGGAGATGAAATCAGGGGAGAAATCGGGGGTTAAGTCTGTGGGAGGGCTACCGGACGACAGAGATGGGGGCGGCGACTGCGGATGATGAGAGGTTGTGGGAGAGGAGGGCTAGAGTGTGGGGATCGACAGGTTAGCCCAGACGACGGTGAGGCTAGCGAGTTTGTACCATAGTCTCCGCTAGCGAGGTTGGCCACCCACAAGATCGAGCTCGTCGAGCCGGTGGGCGCCGTGGATTCGTTGAACGGGGACCAACCCGTGTCGATCCCATCAAGGCTTACGTCGGACTGGACAGAGGTGCTGTTTACAGGTCGGATTTTGCTTGGGGGTTTGAGAGTGGGGAAGAAGTCGAGGCCAGGTGGGGGGAGCTAAGGTTGAGGCTCTGGCCTGCATTAACGGGTTTGGCAAGAAAGATGACCGAGGTGACCGATGGGTGGAGAGGATGACGACCGAGGCGACCGACTGGTTTTGCGATTGGAACGGCGACCGGCGAATGTCGATCGGCGATGAGGAAGATGACAGTATTTACACTTTGGTCCCTCAAAATATTTACATTTTAGTCCTCAAAATCATCTACGTGACTAATAATAATTGGTCCACGTGATCTACAGTAATCCACATGACCTGTAGTGATTAGTCCACATAGAAACTGTTTCAAAATAATCCTTTTGACCCTGGTACTTGAGCGTTCACCTAATAATATCTCCGTGAAATATGTCAAAGAAAGGCCGGTGCCTACTCCAAAAGAGGGGTTTTCAAACCCTCTCCAACGTGGATTAATACATATTTGCCATGTGTATAAATCGGAGGACATAGATGCTGATATATGTTTTGACATGAAATCAACTCGTAAGTCCTCCAAATTTCCCTTGATTCGAAATAAAGCCCCAATTTTACTAGAAAGCTTTCCCGTCATTCGTTTATACCGTTTGTCCCCAGTCTAAAATCCTTGTCCTCCGCTGAGCGGTGTCGTTCTACAAAAATCAAACCCTAGCCTTCCACTCCGCTGAGAGGTGCCATTCTTGTTCTCTATGATCAACGTCTCACTCTATGCCGTCTCCCGAAACCTTGAAATTTCCAATCTGAAATCATTCAACCGAACCCTAGCCTTCCCCTCGGCAGATTCTTCTTCTCTTGCGATTGACAAAGCCTATTTCTCCTTCTCATCGATCGTGGCTCACCAGTTTCTTCGTCTTTCACGATAGTTGGCCGTTCTACTCTTCGATCGCTACTCTGAAGGTGAATATAATTTAGTTCTTTGTTATTTTTAATTGTCAAGGATTTTGGAGGCGGGTCGAGTTTGGAGGTTATATAGCAGACCTCTGGTAGGGTTGTTACCGCATGAATCTTTCTGCGTTTAAAGTGCATCCAACCAAGGTGTTAATTATTTATTTTATTTCGTTAACGTTTACAACTTCTTCGAAATTTGCATCCATTTCATCTCGAACTATTTAAGCGTATCTAATTTCTATATTTGAAAGAGGTATCACTGATGAAATGCTAAATTGGATGATTTTAATTCCTAATTTTCTGTTTTATGAAGAACTTGTGTGTTCATCCAATAGATGTTTAGTTGATAACAGTCAGTTCGCTTGTAAATGCCAATGTAAGACGGCATGAGGTGAATTAATCTAGTTTCTAATTTAACTGTTCTTAATAAAAAAAGATTTGTGGCTTTATTGATATTGAGATGGGTTAGTCTTTCATAAAAATCAATGGTGAAAAGCTCAAACCATTCACTTCATGTCTCTGATCTTTAGCAAACTATATATATCCCATTCATCCAATATGTCAAGTCTACACACAAAGATTCCCGTCTGTAGCTTTATGTTAATGATCCTTTAAGCTAAATGAGAAAGTGTTAGTTTTTGTTAATTTTCTATATTGAATGGTTGATCAGAAACAGTGGAAACAACTATGTATCTGGCTGGATTTATAGCCAAGGGAGATTGATTTGAGCAACTCTCTCTTTTTTGGAGCACTGACTTCTTCTAATGAAATGACCAATGGTTGAGTGTTGATACTGGCTATTAGTGAAGGAGTTTCTATCACTTGACATATAGGTTGTCACAGCCACAAACTATGAGTTTCTGAACTCATTTCTGTTTTCATTCTCTCTTTAGTAGTCCTTTTTGTCTATCTGTAGAATTTTCTCCCTCTACCCCATCTCTATTGGTTTATTCTATATGCTTGTAGAGTTTTCCTCTCTCCCAATAGAATTTTCAATGTCTACCCTTTCTTGGTCTCCAGAATTCTCTCTGCCCCCTTCTATCTACTGGTTTTCTGCTACAGACTTGTAGAGTTTTCTTTCTACCTCTTTTGTTCTCAATAATTCTCTCTATAGAATTTTCTCTTTACCCCTCTTTTATTGGTTTGTGTCATATCCTTGTAAGGTTTCTCTCTTCGTCCTTTGCTATTTAGAATTTTTTCTACCTTCTCCATTGATTTATGTGTTTTTTTCCTTGTAGAGTTTTTTTCACTCTACTCTCTCTCTCTCTCTCTCTCTCTACCCCATCTGGCTCCCCATACATATATGTCTGAGTACTCTGAAGGTAGTTTATACTGTATGTGCAGGCTATAGATGAAGAAGATCTTGTTGCTGGACATTATACACTTGAGAATGTGATCCTTCCCCTTCCTGGGTAAGGAATGAGAAATAAATTTTACCCCCTTCAAATTTGTTAAACTATTTTTGTTTATTGATGTGTGATGTGGCTTATTGCTGCTGGAGGATAATATAACTGATGAATGATATTGCTAAATTTCATTGTGATCTAGCAAAGAAGGCAAGTTTTGACACCTTGTTAAGTGACTGGACTCAATGTTTCCTTCTATTTTTCTACTTTCTGATCATTTTCCTCCATTATTTGATGAGATGATGACCTAACCATGGAGATTTTTTTGCAAATTCCTACTAAAATGGTGTATATATCGTATCTGATGCCTTTCTTTTGCTTCTCTTGCTTTTCTTTCTGATCAGGGTGCAATTAACTTGACAGAGAGTGTACACAATGCACAGTAAATCACTTGAATTTCCCTCCAATCACATTAACTTAACATTATCTAGAGATAAGCACAAGCAACTGCACTTAGTGTGGATATATGAAATAAATTGTCTTACTAGGCTTATATCCACATAAATCAGTTTTTCTAGTAACCATTTCTACATAAGACTGCACATAATTTTTTTTCCCATGCTTAGTACACCCCCCCCCCCCTCCCTCCCACCCAAAAAAAAAAAAAAAAAAACACACACACACACACACACACGCACAAAAGGCCTTTTAACACACTGAAAATTGCTAATTTTGGTGCTTTGTATGTGATTATGTTTCTGTTACCACCAGGAACTACTCAAATATACGGACGGAAATATGCCACCTGTGGAGACGGATTTGGACATCATTTCTAAGCCAAGACCTCCCTCCTTAATAAGAAAAAGGATTTATCTAATGAAAGTAATGATGCAAAACTACCTGTTGACTGCAAGAGAAAACAAGAGACTACAGAAAATGCTATATCACTTGCAATGTATGAGAATGAAGCTACGGATGACAAAGGAAAAGGATATTTCGGTGTCTCAAATTTTGAAGAAGTGAAGCAGGCTCTATCCGAATTGATTGAAACCATTTATCTAAATGCTCAAGTTCAAAAACTCAGCTCGAAGCGCAACATTCCACCCTGCTGTCTAACCCATGTACGGTAGTTCTCCAGCCCTCCGTTAGCTCACAGAAATGCTGGCTGCATTGCACAGGCCCAGTGCATATTTCCCACAGCCCAAACAGCTTCAGCCCTCTAAGTAAGCGCACCAATTCAGCTGCTAAGTTCTATATCCACACATGCGGCCCAAATCAAGCCGCCCTTGCACCAGCCAAGAAGCCCATGATATCATACTTGCCCAATTGCAACTCTCTACCGGCTCCCAATCCTGCGGTGGAGTCCATTCTAAGGGCAGGCTACTTTACAGTTGAGCAAGGCAGGTCACAAAATTCATGTTGTCAAAATAGCTACCTTGAAAATTTAGAAAAAAAAATGCTTCAATTAAGAAGATAACATCATAAAAATATTGACACTAATTTCTCTAAGTATTTTGTGAAGGAGAATTGGCTTTGCTATCAATGGCGTCATATTCCAATTTAATTAAAGTGAATGGTTTATAAAATAACAGAATTCAACCTTTTTGGAGAAATCCTTGTAGCGAGTGAAATATTGCAACTTCCATCACATCATTTGAGCACTCAACAGTACATGCTTAACCATTTTAT